ACTAACGCAGGTCATCCAGATCTCCCTCACCATCACAATCAACAGCTGTAGTTGTGAAAGGTCATTCAGTGTGTTGAGAAAGCTCCACACTTGGCTGAGGTGCACAATGGGACAAGACAGGCTCCATCATCTTGCTATTTTATCAGTCGAAAAGGAAGAACTTTCTAAGCTGAGTCACAAGTGATTGACCGCTTTGCAAAAGTGAAAAATAGGAGGTACACTTTAATGCTCAATAAATAAGAGAAAAACTTAGTTCGGGTTGAGTTAAACTTTCCCCTGAACTAAAACTCGGAAACCTAGGAATTAATGATTACTTCAGAATGTGTATAAGGAAACTTTTTATTTTTAAAGTTGGTAATATCTTATTTTTTTATAGCTGCAATGTTGAAAATGTTCATGTTTGTTAAAACAAATATGCTCTTACACTCATTAATATCTCAACTGGTAATTTTGGTAGGAATGTATCAGGGTGGGGCAGTGTGCTCGTCTGTATTTGTGTATGGCAGGAGGGGCATATGCGGTAGGGGGCCAGTGCCTCAGTAAAGCTTTGTGCCTAGCAACGCCCCTGGATTAGATTAAACTTCATTGTCATTACAAGTCATAAACAGAAAGCAAATAAATGCAGATAATATCCAAACATAAGTGTCTTATTAGCTTTAACATGATCTGTTCAGATATTTACAGAATTAAGACCTATGGCATAAATTTACTTCAAACATTTTATAAATAATTCTATATATTTTACTCTATTTCCAAAATTTTCACTAAAGTTAAAAAGGCAGCAATATCTGTCTGTCTGTCTGTCTGTCTGTCTGTCTGTCTGTCTGTCTGTCTGTCTGTCTGTCTGTCTGTCTGTCTAATCACAAGTGATATCTAAAAATTGAACATAGATAATGTTTGATGAGTGGACTGCACAGTGATGTTGTAGCATAGTTGCCTTGCAGCAAGAAGGTTTCGGGTTCAATGTAGCTTACCTTTCTGGTACTCTGAATGAAAGTTAGCGGCTGGCTAGCTCAAGAGGTAAATCACCTCTCCTGCAAACAGGAGGCTTGGGTTCCTTAATTAATCCCTACTTTGATCATTGAAACTGACCAATATATTGGTAGCATAAGTAAGAGATGGGATTACTTTAAATTCAAGGCACGAGAATTCTCAATAGGGGTGTCAACAATAATCGATTCAGCGATGCATTGCAATGCGGGGCATGCACGATTCAGCATCGATGGGGCAACGTGCCATAACCGATTATGTCACTGTTTATTTCCTGGCCTCAAATGGACAAGTTGTGAAGTTTCAATCACTTCCGGGGGCATACCAACAACAATCAAGATGGCTGAGGCGGAGGGAGATGACCGCAATAGACGGGTAGGCCTAATTAAAAATGCACCAAAAGCTTGGAAAGCGGATATCTGGGCACATTTCGGATTTTACAAAGTCAATGGGATTTTGATGCATCGCAATGCATCGTAGAATCGAACTGAATCGAATCGTTACCTGGTGAATCGTAATCGAATCGAATTGTGAGGGCAGTGCCAATGCACACCCCTAATTGTCAATATCAATATCAACCCCGAAATGACAGATATGATATGAATTTGTAAGGCTGCAAAACCAATTGGATGTTATATATCGTAAAAGGGCACATGGTGCTTACATCAGATCTCGAGCCAAATGAATAGAAGAAGGTGGGGGAAAAATACATCTTATTTTAGTAATCTGGGGGGAAAAAATAGTGAAGAAAGAAAAAGTATAAATTATAGACAACAAAGAATGCATTGATCATAAGATTATTTCGGAGGAAATTTACAGATTTTATTCAAATTTATATTCATCCGAATATAATTCTGCTAACGCAAATATCTCTCTAGAGGAGATCAAAGAATATGTTCCAATGATAGATGCATCCTAGAAGAAAACTGTGAATCAGATTTCAAATTAGAAGAATTAGACAGAGTCATTAAAAAATTGGCCACTGGAAAAGCACCGGGTCAAGATGCTCTGACCACAGCATTTTAAAAATTATTTTGGGATGACCTAAAACAATTTCTTTTTCAAACAATTAATGACATATTACTTACTAATTCATTAACACTGACAATGAAACACAACCTTATTACTCTCATCCCCAAACCAGAAAAAGATAAAAGATGTATCGAAAATCTTCGACCAATTACTCTATTAAACACTGACTATAAGATATTCACACATGTAATTGCAGACGGGTTAAAAGAAGATTTATCTCGGATCATAAGTGACACACAGTCTGCTTTTCTTAAAGACAGATCTATTCACAATAACCTTAGACTGGTATTAGATCTACTAGATTAGAAGCACCTGCTGGAGGATGACGGAGTCATTTTCTTCTTGGATTTTTATAAAGCTTTTGACGTGGTCAAACACTCCTTTATTCTAAACGCCCTGCAGTATTTTGGTTTTGGGGGAAAATTTAGAAACATCATTCAGCTGCTTTATACGGACTTTAATAGCTCAGTGTCTCTGGAACGACCAAACGCTTCGATATAAAAAGGGACATCTGCGTCCCCTTTACTATTTATTATTGTGGCAGAACTTTTAACAATTTTTTTTTTTAAATAATCTAAATATTGAACCGCTGAAAGTGATAGGAAGCTCCTTGGTAAGTACTCAACTAGCTGATGATACAACCTTGTTTTTAAAAAAATACCAATAAAATTTCAAAAGGGGGCTGTTCAGTGCACCAGTGGGTAGCACAGCAAGAAGGTTCTGGGTTCGATTCCCCGTCGGGGTCTTTCTGCATGGAGTTTGCATATTCTCTCTGAGCATGCGTGGGTTCTCTCCGGGTAATCCGGCTTCCTCCCAAAGTCCATAAACATGACTGTTAGGTTAATTGGCTTCTCTAAATTCTCCTTAGGTGTGAGTGATTGGTTGTTTGTCTCTGTGTTGCCCTGCAATGGACTGGCGACCCGTCCAGGGTGGACCCCGTCTCTCGCCCATTGACAGCTGGAGATAGGCACCAGCATTCTCACGACCCCACTTGGGATCAAGCGTGTTAGAAGATGGATGGATAGATGGAAATTTCAAAGGCGCTGAGAGAAATACCAGTTTTCTAAAGCCTCTGGTCTACATTTGAATATGAAGAAATGTGAAACAATGACTATTCATGATCGCCCTTTAAACACTCTTTGTAATATCCCAATTAAAAAAGAGGTGAAATATTTAGGTATCAACATATCAAAGCATAAAAAATCAAGAGAAGCATCAAATATAGAAACTAAAATTGAGAAAGGTAAAGTCATTCTCAACAGTTGGCTCCAGAGAGAGATCTGATGTTGTTAAGTCTTTAGAAGAAGGTTTGAATATGATCAATTTTGACCCAATAAATGGTACCATCAGACTCAGATGGCTACAGGACTCATTCCTGTCACATTCCTGATGAGACGTGACTTTGAAATCTCTAAGTTATCGATAAAACTATCAGACTTCCATAAACAGGTTCTGCAATATTGGAAACTTATTTTTAAACATAATTTTTCACCTCAGTCTGTCCCGATTTGGAACAACAGATGTATCCTTATTAAACAAAAATCATTATTTTACAAAGATTGGATGGAAAAAGGTATCTGGTCTATTCTAGACCTCATGGAAGTTGATGGAAACCTTTTATCATATGATGCTTTTATCAAAAAATACAAAATAACATGTACAGAAACTAGATTTATTAAAGTTGTAAAGGCAATTCCCCCTGCTATGGTGCTACTAATTAACGGTACAATAACATATTCAACAATTGCTGTAAAAGAATCATCTTTAACTATAAACGGTTTTACAAAAAAAGTACTAATAGATTTATAAGAACCACCTTGACATGTTATTTTTTCCATCAACCCTAAGAAGAAAACATTTGTTCAAAAAGTATGATGATACCTCTTTAAAGAAAATTGGAACCAGATATCTTTCATTTCCACTTCCACAGAAAGTAAAGGAAATCCATTCCAAAATGATGTACGACATTTACCCCTGTAATGATGTTTTACATAGAAAATTAAACATAACTACCAATTCTTGTGTATTTTGTGATTCAGATAGTGAAAATGCAGAACATCTATTTTTCAGTGCAATATCATAAATATTTTTTTGAAGGATTTTCAAAATTGGATCTCACGGAAGACTTCTTTACCACTTTTGAACTTTGGTATAAGAAGATTAGTTTTTTTAATGGGGGATAGAAAATCAAACTATGGCAATAATTTAATTCTTTTGGCCAAATTTTTCATACATAAATGTCGATTTAAAAAAAAATTACCCCATCTCTCAGTATTTTTATAAGTGAGATACTTTTATTAAAAGAAGCACTAACCCAATGTAAAAACCCTAAAGCCCAATCAATGGTGCAATATATTGTGAATTTACTTTAAAATTCAAAATTCAAAGTACTTTTGTTTTTTTGTTTTATTTATTTACTTTGTTCTACAAGCTGTTATTTTTGTTTTCTAATTGTATATAGGTTCTCTGTATGATTCTATTTGTTATATTATACATATTGTGCTCAGCTTCCTAAGATATTCAATTTACAACTTTGTATAATGGTTTTGATATGCCTTGTAAGACTTTGATTCCTCAATAAAAAAAAATAAAATAAAAACTAGTTTGCCAACCACCATAAAACCTTACAAGAATAGGAAGAACGCGTGTTATATTTAATAGGGGGAAAAAATAATAATAAATGTGAAGGATGTGTAGAAAAAGAAAATGTAGCACATGTACTAATGAACTGTAAAACTTATGAACATGAAAGGGAGAAAATGAGAAGGATGGTTGAAAGGACAGGCCAAGAATTTAGTCATAATGGAATATTAGAAAATGAAGGAAATATCACGGAATATAAAGATTAAGGAAAGCATTCTTTATTTATCTACAAAAAAAAAAAATGAATTCGATGTAAAGTAATCTTGCTACACACGCATGTACAGTAGGTGGCAGTATAAGATTGGCTTGCAATCCGCCATAACAGAAGAGGAGAAGAAGTTGGAAAATAACGCATGCGCAAATGAGCTTCCGGTAAGGATCGGCTCGTGAGAACAGACGCCGGTGCTAGCTTGGCTGCTAACGGAGCGGTCCTTGCTTCCTTCCTTCCAGTGATTGACACCAGAGGAGGGGAGCCGCTGGACGGTAAGGGGCGTCTGTAAAAGTCCGAAGTAGCTTAGCTAGCTTACTGTTAGCTTTTTTTTAAAGCATATTCTGTCTTTATTTAAATTATCAGGATTTACAGACAAACATGGCTGCATGCTGCATGCGAGTTTGTTTCTTCAAGTCAGAATACATTGAAAATATAGCCAGGGGGAGCATATATCTACATGAACATGAACACTCAAAAAATAAACTAAATAAATAAACAAATAGAAAATTATAATAAGAATATTTATAAAATAAAAACAGTTATATAAAATAATATAAGAAAGTATAATATAAGGGGAGAATTCAGTCTTTGTTTTCTGTTGGGTAGTTTTTTAGGATATTATATATTTTTTGTGCTTTAGGAATGTTCAGAATCTTTCATGATTTTATATAAAGCTTAAACTAATAAAAAAAAAGTTTGGGAGTTGATTTAGCAATTCTAAATTTCTAAATGAGAAATTACTAGACTATTACTAGACTAGAGATATAATTGTATCAATGCAGAGCTGATCAGCCTTATTTTGCAATATTAGACCAAAGGTGACATCATCTCTGGAGAGGTTGGGAATGAAGATCGCTGTTGTTTAATCTATCTATGCAAATCACTCCAAAATGTCTCACAACATGAGAAGAACACATAGTCCGTAGTTTAAATCTCATTTTCACAGAACCTACATTTGTTATCATCCATACCAAAGCAAAGTCTCAATAGTTCGATAGAGGGGTAAATGTTGTTCATTATTTTAAAGTGTGTTCCTTTCACCTTTGGAGGTATTAAGTGCAGCAGTGATCAAATATAAACAATGTGGGAGAAAAAAATTCTGTCTGTTTTAGGTTTGGTGTCTGAGGGGGAATCATTGCTTAGCCTGACCCCTGCTGAGCCATTTCTGGTTCTGTATGTCTGATTGCAGGTCCAGGATGGGGCGTTCCTCCAAAGACAAGCGGGACATCTACTACCGTCTGGCCAAAGAGGAGGGCTGGAGAGCCAGGAGTGCCTTTAAGCTGCTGCAGCTGGACCATGAGTTCAACCTGTTCACAGGTGAGACCCACACCACCTCCCAACTCTAGAAAGTAAAGGAAGTGCAATATTAAATAAATTGCAGAATATTCCTTTCCTTCATTGGTCCAGAGTCCAGCTGCTTTTCATCTAATCTGATTCTGACTGCAGCTCTTCTGGATGTGGTCTTTGAGGTATCATAGAGACCCTGGGTCCGGGGGGCAGTTCTGGGTTCATTTAAAGGATTAGCTTCATTTTAAAAATCTCCCAGAGCTCTGAATGATCCTTCATCTGGGCATAGGAGGATTCACCACCTTCAGACATACCTGGACATGAAGCCCCTCCTAAAATGACCCTTTCCTGAGGTTAGGAACATCTTGGTCTTTTCTCAATTCACAAGAACCAAACACAGACTTTTGTTCTTTCCAAGTCTGTTCTTGAGAAGAAAACAGGAAAGTCTGGACTCGGGGAGAACAGGAGGACACAGCATAAATCTGGGTCAATTGAAACAGAAGTGTAATGATGACATCACCACATTCAAAGCAAGTCTGGAGCTGCATTTCACCTCCTGTTATTAATAGTCTCTAGATAATAATAAATTATGATTTTTTTTTTCATTTAGTAGAGGAATAATAATGAACACAGTCAGATAAACACAAATCAAATCAACATTTTACCAAATAGAACAATCAAACCGCCATCAGAGCCGGCGGTCCTTCACACACAGCTATGCTGAGAGAGGGCTGCTGGTGGCCGCTGCAGACGGGCTGACGTTAACCCCGGCTGCTGCAGAGAATGGGCCATTTAGTGAAGCTTAAAGTATAATGTTCTCACCTTAAATATTCTTAAAACGTACTTTTATGGAACAACAGCAAAAGAAAAGAGAAGTTTTAACTTAAAGCTGTAGTGGAGGATGTTCTTATTCTGGGTAGATCATCATAATCAGTGGTCCTCCTAACTGTCAATCATCTTGGTGATATCCTCCACTATGTCTTTAACACTCTGAGCTCAGTGAGGCTAGCCTGGAAGCTGCTGCTGCCGCAGTGCATGCTGGGACACCTGTCAGTCTTGAGAACTGACAAGTCTGCTCTGATGCATGCTGGGTAAAGAGACTTAGACTTATGCTACATTCAAACCGCACATGATGGAGGCAGCAGAAGCAGCCGATTTACGTGCAAGGTCATTGGTTGATGCGCATCAAGGCACTGCAGGACCTTCTGATGCACCTTGATGATATAGACCAGGGCTGCGTCTCAATTCGCAGGCTGCGTACTTGGTAGGACGCATTTTGAGGCCGGTGACGTCACAACGCTGCGCGGAGGCCGTCCCATTTGGCAAAAATTCTGAGGACGCTTAAAATGCAGCCTTAAAATGCGTCCTCCTTTTCCCCGAATTCTGAGGATGCATCGCTACCGTCCTTAGTGGCCTCGCCTCCCACAAGATTTCCCGAGGTGCTTTGCACGCTTCTTTTTTTTTTTTTTCTAGTAGTTGAAGAAGAAGAAGAAGAAGAAGAAAGTCGGATTTTCTTCAAGTTACGGACAACCGAAAGCAGCAGCAGCGCCGGCAGTAGTGGGGAGAACACCTTTAAATGTAAGTAGTTTGTTTTTGTTTCTTTTTAATGAACATCTATTAAAATACATGACGGTAACTGAGCCACCGGAATGTGTAGGAGCAGCTAAAGCTAAAGCTAAGAGCTAACCTGTTGATACGTGATGCTCATCAACAATTAAAAGCCTTCATACAAATGTCACTATTTTTTATTTTAACCTACATCTTACTATACTGATAGCCGTGTCCCTCACTAATCGGATCTATTTATTCCCAAACAGTTTATTACAAAGGATTAGAGCTGTTAAAGCTTAATGCAGCTGAAGAAATAACATTAGTCCAGCTGTACTGGGCTGTTAATACTGCAAACGTTTTGTTTTAATACTCAATAACGTATAGTTTATTTACAGTACTGTATAATAAGGTTTAAAGTATAATTCGCTTGAAGAACAATACAGGCGTAATTATACAGAACAGTCATTTTGCCTGTTGACTTAACAGAAATATGCTTTACATGTCATTTTGTTCCAGGGAGCAGACAGAGGAGTGGATAAAATGACCACCTTATCAACGGGGCCAAAAATACTGCTGCAGTCTGATGGAGCGAAGAGTTGAGGCAGAATTCCATCTACATGTTGCATTTCTATGTAAAAGTCACACAAGTTAAAAGAAGTCCTGTTCAAACACCAACGTACAAATATAATCTTTGATCACATCAAATGATGCTCAGATGCCACTTTTTGTAAATCTCATATTTGTGATAGAAGTGATCCTTGTGTGGGACAACTTAAAAAAAAAAATACAAAGTATGTTCAGGTTTGGATAATGTAATGAAACACACACACACCTATATATATATAATGTATGTATATGTATGTGTGTGTGTGTAGGGAAATTACATCTTACATTTATTATATTCATGTTAATTTCCACTTTGAGTAAGCTTGAAAAAGTAATCTCCAGGTTACCATTCCAAAGTCTTTTTCTGTAGAATTTCATCAATCCATCCAAATCATGAAACATTCCTTTTTTCGAGCTTTAAAGAAACACTACAGAAAATAGCATCTGTTGACACACATTCTTTTCCTCTACTTTAGGAATGCAAAGATCCAGGGCAGGGGGTCAGTGGGAATCCTACTGCTGCCACCTGGCCCTGGTTTGTCCTCATGGATGAGGTATTAGGACAGAGGCCCTCTATTGCCCCACCTGTCCTAATTGCCTCCATCCCTGAGGACACACCAGGGCCAGGTGCTGCAGAGGCTGAGCAGCATCAGGGTGAAGATGAGGAAGAGAATGAGGATGAGAGAGGAGGGAAAGGAGGAAGAGAAGAAGGAGTGACGAGTTGGTGGATTTAATCAGGGAGGAGATGAGATGGCAGAGGGAGGCGGGAAAGGATGGACAGATTATTTCAGTTATTGGAGAGGATGGTGGACAGATGCTATTATTTTTTTGGTGTTTTTTTTTTAACAAGTTGAAGTTCTGTGTTGCTGTTATTAAATTAAATTATTAAATTGTTTATAAAAGTTATTGCTGTCGGTGTGTTCTTAAAGTCTTTTAACCTTTTTACATGATCTGTTTCATCACTTCTTTGTAATTTAAGCAAACTTAGAACAACTTCTCAGTGACAGTTTATTTTTAGAGAAGCAAGTATTTACAATAAACTATTAAACATTTTTAACTATTGACATTAGATTTTAAAATTAACTAATACAACTATTTACAGAAGATATACAGTAAATATTACTAGAGAACATATATATACAATTGTGACTGAGCAGGAGTCCCTGGTGGTGCTGCTGGACTGGATGCGGTGCCACACAGATGAGCTTGGAGTCTTCTGACTGCGAGTGGGACATCATCTGGGGGGTGGGGGGGATGCCTCTCTCCACTGCTGATCCAATCGATGGCTGCCATGTTACTAAAAATTTTCAAAAAGACGCAGAAAAAATGACTTTACTAAAACAGTTTTTATAACCCTGAAATGAGAACAGCTAAAATGTGATTCTACTTTCCATCTAAATGCAACGGTGGTCAGGTAGACCCTCCTCCAGGGCAGACACCTCGGCAGACAGCTGGTCCCTCCATGGAGCACCACTGACTGCCTCCAACACGTTCTCCCCCTCCTCATCCTCTGGCATGTCGTCCTGCTCTTCATCCTCTGGGGCTGTTATGACCTGTAGAAAAAAAAAGACAAAAATATTTATTTTTATTCAGTCATCTATCTTTTTTTTCCTTATCTTTATTACATGATTTATTAGAAATTAAATTTTACTTTATCTAGATCCACTATTTAACTTAGTTTTTTCGTTTTTATATGTTGATTTTTTTTCCTGTATTATGTTTATATATATATATATATATATATATAAATAAAATTGCAAATAAAATCAGGCAGTAAGGGGATAACAATTTAGACAAAAATGATTTATTTCTCAACAGTTTGGCTTCTCAACACAACATTAGTAATGGTGAAAGTAGTGATTTAAGTCAGTTATTTACAGGGTTTGTACACATTTAACTATTCAATTCAAATTACTAAAGTTACAAACTAATAAATTACAAACCTACAAATAAATATAAAATTTGATATTTAAACATATTCATCAATCTGCTGACAGGCGTTTATTTAATAGCTGGTATATTCTGATCATTAGCAGGCCCCTGTGGGTTAGAATAATAGCAGGTAGATCTTACCTCTCCACTGCGCTCTGCCAGCCTGAGAAAAATCCGTCGCAGGTTTTGCTGCCGCCGAAGCCGTCAAAGCGACTCTCCTCCTCCAATAACAAGTAAATAAAAAAAATAAAAATTTCCATATCTATTTTTTTGTTGTTTCTTTCCGTATTTCTCGAGCTGTCGGATTTTGTTTCGCGCTGTGTTTGGGGTAAACGTGATGACGTCGTGTCGCAACCAGGAAGTGCTCCAAAGGCTAGACCGTCCCATTTACCAACGGCTGAGGATCCTCCGGAGCAGCCTACCAAGTCTGGGTCCTCCGGAGGCTAGGTAGGCTGCGTCCTCGGAAGTACGCAGCCTGCGAATTGAGACGCAGCCCAGGAGTCTTCAACGTTTTCCAGCCTAAGAACCCCCAAACTGATGGGGAGAAAGAGCGGGGACCCCCTAATTATATATATATATATATATATATATATATATATATATATATATATATTAGTGCTGTCAAAATTATCGCGTTATTATCGCGTTAACGCGAGGCCATTTTAATGGCGATAATTTTTTTAACGTGAGATTAACGCTATGTGGTTTTATGGTACAATTTTCCAAGTACATCCCGCTGCAGCCTGCGGGAAGGCGGGGCTATTTTCCCCCAGTCTATGCATTTTCCATAGGCTTCGAGAGCGGAGCTCCTCAAGGAAAAAAGACGCTCATACACTGGGTGACGCTAGTGCCTTTTCTTTAAGCCCCGCCACCAACAAACAAGTTGAGTGTCTGGTAACTAGTAGCAAGAGAAAACAGATTACTGAGGTGAAATGGAATCTGCTACGGCACTCTTGCTGTCTGTGTACGCCACAGGTCGGTATTGTGTGTGTGTGTGTGTGTGTGTGTTCTCATTTTTGTTAAGAGGCTGAAAAGTTACTTTCTAGAGCATAGACTACCTCCATCTAGTAATGTCGGTCTATTGATTTTGATGTATTGATGGAAAATTGTTCATTATTACCTTGGTTAATTGACATCTAATATTAACTGTACTACATTTTACAGCAGTAGGGTAAAATGCTTGTTTTTGTTCAAAAGACTGTATTAACTGTAAAGACTGTCTTTTACATCAGCCTGTTTTCAGGGCCTTTTTTTTGGCTACATATTTGTTATTTTTGGCTACATGCCTGCCCATCTTCTTGCCATATGTTTCTATGGCATAAATCAGTGTCTGTGACCTGTTTTCATTAAAAAAAAAAGAACATTGGCACAAACCTAGCCTGTATGTATTTTTTGTATGTCATCGAGAGTATTTAAATGATTTTCAATCAAAAAAAAAATGTGTGATTAAAATGCGATTAATCGCGAGTTAACTTAGGCATTGATGCGATTAATCGCGATTAAAAGAATTTAATCGATTGACAGCACTAATATATATATATATATATATATATATATATATATATATATATATATATATATATATATATAATGAAACTGTTTTCTATCAAACTGCGTCTTTGGTCACTCTATTACAGATGGAGTAATGTAACTAAAGTAATTTCTCCCTGGGATTATTAAAGTATTTCTGATTCCTGGTTGATGGGACAGGTGTTGTGAATGAAACGGTGCCCAGCTTGAAAGAGCTCCTGTGTGTCGCTGAAGGTGTGCATTGATGACTGAAAGACATCTTCTGCCTCCATTTATCAGTTTACTACAGTCTGTTGAATTCATGTTAATGTGGATTTAAAGACATTTCAATTAGTGGAAAAAATTGCAGGAGGGAATATAGAAAAATATAATCAACCAAAACTTTCGTGACCCCATGCAGTACCTCCATGGACCCCCTAGGGGTCGCGGACCCCCTGTTGAAGACCTCCGATCTAGAGTCTCATGAGCTTCTGAGCATCTAAGGCGCTGATCAGGGAGTCAGACAAAGAAGAACTGCATTCCTCCTCTTCCTCATCAACCCCTCCTTTACCCCACAGGTGTGACCAGAGCTGTTGATCTGTGTGCAGCACCAGGCAGCTGGAGTCAGGTTCTCAGCCGCAAACTCAGGTCTCCCTTCCTTAATGTCCTTCATTTTTATCAGACTCTTAGATTCGGGAGAAAAATTCAAACTCTCCTGGTTTTCTCCTCACAGAGGCGGGGAAGGGGGGGAGGAGAAGTCTGACGGGAGGGAGAAGGTGAAGATTGTCGCAGTGGACCTGCAAGCCATGGCTCCTCTGCCAGGAGTCACTCAGATCCAGGGAGACATCACCAAGGTAACAACCCCCCCTCCTCCCAGCTATGACTCCTCTTCCCCGCTTCATGTCGTTCTCCTCCCAGGTGTCCACAGCCCAGGAGATCATCCGTCACTTCCAGGGCCAGCCGGCCGACCTGGTGGTGTGTGACGGAGCTCCAGACGGTGAGGTCCCATCTCTCTGCTCTCCCCGCTCAGATCAATTGTTCCTGATGGAGAAGTGGTCTGTTCATCATTGCCTTGTTGTTGTTTTGTTTCCATAGTAACCGGTCTCCATGATGTGGACGAGTACATCCAGGCTCAGCTCCTGTTGGCGGTGAGTATGGACATGTCCACCCTGCAGTGTGTGGTTGTAGCGCCCCACTGACGGCTGTCTGTCTTCCAGGCTCTGAACATCACCACACACGTCCTGAAACCTGGAGGAACCTTTGTGGCCAAGGTTGTGCTTTTCTGTTGGTTTCTCCTGAGGCCGTTCAGTCAGATCAGACAGTTTTACAGATTGGTTTCTAGGCACTAGTGGTGTTTACGTCAGTTAAGGCCCTCATCTGTCGCATCAACGACCACGCCTCTGTAGACCGCTCAGCCCCTGCACCGCCGCTCATCCCCTGCAGCACCAAAGAACCACAGGTCATAGATTGGTAAAACATTTCTAAGGAAAACCAGCTGCTTGCATCCAGACAATGACTCGCAGGATGAGCAGGTAGAGAAACTCTTCTTTAATCGTCACGCTGAGCACGCCTGCAGCAGCTGTGACGAAGAAACCTCCAGCAGGACCCGGCCCAGTGCGAGCGGCAACCTTCGCACCGTCTCAGGCCCATTTACTGATTTAGAGCGAAATAGAGAAATAAATTCTGATGTAGAGCAGACGGTGGCTACCAGCAGAGCTCTGAGGCTAACTGCAGCCTCTGCTAATGTTAGCCTGTCGCCAGCAGCCCTCTCAGCTTAGTTAGTGAAGTACCGTTGGCTCTGATGGCGACTTTCTTTATGTTTATTATTAATTATTTATTACTATCTAGGGACTAATGCAGGTCCAGACAAGCAGGGCGTGTGGTGATGTCACACCGTTGGCGTTCCGTTCCCGCTGAGACTGACTTGTTCTGCGTTGTCTAAAGCCTATGTGGCGTTCTTGTGAGTCAGCCTCTCAGGGGAGGGGCATCAGGAAGCGAGGAGGAGCAGAATCAGCGCAATGTTTCCTTTTGCGTGATATAAATAAAAAAATTATATTGCCCACATTTTGCCAGATGCTACAATCAGCCCATTGTCCGACACATCGACCTGCCGATTTATCGGCCGGACTTTAGTGAGAACAGCATCCAGAGATGTGGAACCACCTCAGGAGAGCGTGTTTCCAGCCCTGCATGCCTTCCTGTTACCAGGAAAAGCTAAAGGAACCGCTGCTCAGCTGGACGCTGAACCTTTCATCATATTTGGAAAATTTTAGACAGTTTCTGAGCTCATTTCTTTTCTGGTTCATTTTCATCTGAATGTATTTTTTTTCTCTGACTGAATCCGATCTGATGGAAGGTTTGACATGAAGACATGTTAGAAAACAAAGTCATTCCCAGCCTCCCCCTCCTGCTGACCTCCTGTCTGTGGTTGTTCCTGGTGTCTCAGATCTTCAGAGGGAAAGACGTGACGTTGCTGTACTCTGAGCTGAAGATCTTCTTCAGCAGCGTGACCTGCTCCAAGCCTCGCAGCAGCAGGAACTCCAGCATCGGTGAGTCTGAAAACAGCCGCAGACATTAAAGCTGTGGTCAAACCGTGGCTGTTGGAGGTAAATGAAGCTGGAACATCTTGAACTTTCGCTAATAAAGCGTTTTTGTTTTTGTGCAGAGGCCTTCGTGGTTTGCCAGAAATATTCTCCTCCTGAGGGTTACGTCCCAAACATGTCCAACCCTCTCCTGGACCACTCCTACGGTAACTATGACAACTGGGAGGAGCAGAAATGTTTGACCCTGGTATGGTACGGCAGGGGGTCCAACCTGAGATGGTGCATCTGGCATCTCTAGGTCTGGGCTCTTCTGCAGGTTCTGTGGGCTCTGGATCTACATCTGACCATTCTGTTTGGTTTCCGCTTGCAGATGTGGACTTCAACCAGCTAGAAGGTCCAAACCGTGTCATTGTTCCCTTCTTAGCATGCGGAGACCTCAGCGCCTTTGATTCAGACAGAACCTACCCCCTGCAGGTGAGCAGCAGCTGGATGCAGACTTCTAAAACCCAGAAGGAAACCTGTGAACCGAGGGAATCCTGCGGGATGACAGTTAACTTTAATAACGATCACAGGATTAAAACTGTTTTATTTCATATGTATGAAAAGGATTAATCAGTAGTTTTTGTCAAAAGTAACATGAGACCATAAACGCAGCCCATCGGTTGAAATCTCCATGCTTTGAGCCAAGGGCGCTTCCCTTTTGCACGGCCTTCCAAACTGAATATTAGATTTGATTCACATCTTTAATGGAACTAGACTGGTTTAGAAAGGAAACAGTAGAAAACGTTTTTAATAAGTGCACCACAGCAGGTAGTAGATGTAGAGGAAGAGAGAGTGAATGATGGCCAGAAAAATCAGAGGGAAAAAAGAGATTAGAAGAAAAATTCAAGGGCAAGATTGTAAAGAAATATTAGAATGATCAAATATTGAAGAAAAAGGTCAGATAAGTCCTAAAGTCCAGAGAAATAAAAAAGAAAGGCTTTTATAAAAGCTTTTAATTGTCAGTTTTAGTTTAAGGAAACCGTTTTTCCTTAAATCTTCAGCATTGGTTACATCCCTCCATCACCAACATGTTTACAGTGGCACAGATATGAACACACGTGATATCCAAAATATGAAGAAGATGATAAGGTTGGCGATTATAGGAAGAAATGAAAGGAGGGAAGCGGAGAGCCATATGTGGAGGCTGTTAGGCAAATTAAATCCAACAGATTACAATAAATAAAAACATGACTAATGCTGAAAAAAAACAAGTGATGCAGATGAGAAAAATAAACCAGATTCAGAGGAAAGCATCATGTCTGTTAAAGAACTGATGGGTTGTGTATGTCTTTAACCACACTTTAAACGTAAAACTGAAACCATTGAAAGAGAGGATGGGAAAAGTTGTTTGGTTCAATTCAGTTTATTTCTATAGCGCCAAATTCACATCATGTCATCTCAGGTCACTTTCCAGTTCACCAGATCATCCAGTCAGATTGATTCAAGGTTTTCTACTTAAGGAAAACCAGCTGATTGCATCGACTCATTGACTCTTCAGCAATCCCTCACACTAAGCATGCTTGTAGCCACAGTGGAGAGGAAAAACTCCCTTTAAACAGGAAGAAACCTCCAGCAGAACCAGGCTCAGTGTGAGCGGCCATCAAGTCTGAAAGAAGAATCATGGGAGGGAGAGCATTAATAAGACAGGAGGCCTAAATAAAGTTATTATAAGAAGGGACAGACCAGAGGGAGAGATGTTTAAATGAATGAAAACAAAAGGCCCCAAACTGGAATATTTAATGGTGGATATTTATGGAAAAGATGAAAAATGGAAACAAATATATTTTTATAATCAGGGGTGTATATGACATTTTCCATGAGTTACTCAGGTGAGTACCAGGAGATGGTGTTTGGTACTCACCCTAAATGACGCGTGGTCTTATTAAAGGGGAACACCGTGTTTTTAACATGTGTTTACGTTATTACATCATGTTCTACTCACCCATATTAGGTTTGTGTCAGTTGGAGCTGTTCTGAAGATATTCCTTTAGGTTACAGGTGCTGGTCATAAAATTAGAATATCATGAAAAAGTAGATTGATTTCAGTAATTCCATTTAAAAAGTGAAACTTGTATATTATATTCATACATTACATACAAACTCATATATTTCAGATGTTTATTTTGTTTAATTTTGATGATTACAAATGACAACAAATGAAAATCTCAAATTCATCATATCAGAAAATTAGAATATTGTGAAAAGGTTCAAAATTGATGGCCCCTGGTGCCACACTCTAATCAGCTAATTAACTCAAACCACCTGCAAAAGCCTTTAAATGGTCTTTCAGTCTAGTTCTATAGGCTACACAATCATGGGGAAGACTGCTGACTTGACAGTTGTCCAAAAGACGACCATCGACACCTTGCACAAGGAGGGCAAGACACAAAAGGTCATCGCTAAAGAGGCTGGCTGTTCACAGAGCTCAGTGTCCAAGCACATTAATAGAGAGGCGAAGGGAAGGAAAAGATGTGGTCGAAAAAAGTGTACAAGCAAGAGAGATAACCGCACCCTGGAGAGGATTGTGAAACAAAACCCCTTCAAAAATGTGGGGGAGATTCACAAAGAGTGGACTGCAGCTGGAGTGAGTGCTTCAAGAACCACCACACACAGACGTATGAAAGACATGGGTTTCTGCTGTCGCATTCCTTGTGTCAAGCCACTCTTGAACCACAGACAGCGTCAGAAGCGTCTTGCCTGGGCTAAAGAGAAACAGGACTGGACTGCTGGTGAGTGGTCCAAAGTCATGTTCTCTGATGAAAGTAAATTTTGCATTTCCTTTGGAAATCAAGGTCCCAGAGTCTGGAGGAAAAGAAGAGAGGCACTTCATCCACGTTGCTTGAAGTCCAGTGTAAAGTTTCCACAGTCAGTGATGGTTTGGGGTGCCATGTCATCTGCTGGTGTTGGTCCATTGTGTTTTCTGAGGTCCAGGGTCAACGCAGCCACATACCAGGAAGTTTTAGAGCACTTCATGCTTCCTGCAGCTGACCAACTTTTTGGAGATGCAGATTTCATTTTCCAACAGGACTTGGCACCTGCACACAGTGCCAAAGCTACCAGTACCTGGTTGAAGGACCATGGTATCCCTGTTCTTAATTGGCCAGCAAACTCTCTTGACCTTAACCCCATAGAAAATCTATGGGGTATTGTGAAGAAGAAGATGCAATACACCAGACCCAACAATTCAGAAGAGCTAAAAGCCACTATTAGAGCAACCTGGGCTATCATAACACCTGAGCAGTGCCACAGACTGATCGACTCCATGCCACGCCGCATTGCTGCAGTAATACAGGCCAAAGGAGGCCCAACTAAATACTGAGTGCTGTACATGCTCATACTTTTCATGTTCATACTTTTCAGTTGGCCAACATTTCTATAAATCCTTTGTTTTTATTGGTCTTCAGTAATATTCTAATTTTCTGATATGATGAATTTGAGATTTTCATTTGTTGTCATTTGTAATCATCAAAATTAAACAAAATAAACATCTGAAATATATGAGTTTGTATGTAATGTATGAATATAATATACAAGTTTCACTTTTTAAATGGAATTACTGAAATCAATCTACTTTTTCATGATATTCTAATTTAATGACCAGCACCTGTATATCCAAGTAACGTCTTCCTATGGGCAACGACTTGAAGGCACAAACTAAACTGTTCATGATTCATTCTTTATGGTACGCCATAAGGATGCACAATATACCTATCGGCCAGTATCGGCCTTAAAACTGACTGACATTGGCCACGCCACCGATATTTAACCCGATATTTGATCAGCTTCTGAGTTTCTAAAGTCAAAAAATAAAAATACTACTTCTTCTTCTTCAAAAACTTATTTTTTACAGACTTAAAAACTTCTAGAGACGAGGGAAAAAATATTGATACATTAAAATATCACAATGTCTTCATATGCTGATATATTGCCATTTAAAAACACCATATCAATCTCTTTTACTAATGAAATATAGCTATATGTCATCGTTATGCTACGAAATACCCCGAAAATCACGAAATTTTGCTATATTTTATATGTTGATATATTGACGCGGTATCTATCTATTTTACTAACAAAATCTCACAAGAATTTTCAAAATATCACGAGAGTTTGTAACAGAACGATGAAATTTCACGAGATTTTGAAAGTAAAATAGATCGATACCGCGTTTTTAAAAATCAATTTGATATCAGCATATGAAAATATATTTGAGTATATTATTTTTCAAAGTGTCAGAAATGGATAACAAAACTGCTATTTTCAATGACTAATTATTTTTGTCCAGCTTTAACATCGGTATCGATATCGGTTATCGGCTACATGAGTTTTAAAATATCGGCAAATCCTATATCGGCCAAAATCCCAATATCGTGCATCCCTAGTATGCCAGCATTCAAAATATGTAGGAGAATCACTACTCCAGTCCGCATGCGTGGATGACGTCATACACGCGCCACTTTGTTTTAAAACATATAAATATAAAAAATTTAACCGTGGATGTCTGGGGGACAGTGATTTGCCTACATGTTCTGAATGCTGGCGTACCATAAAGAATAAATTATGAACTGTGCAGTCGCTACATAGAGAAGGGTCCATCCTGACCCCGCTCTACATAGCGATGGAGGGATCTAGGGGTCTGATGGACAGGCCGGGTCAGTGAACTGATCCGGATCACTAATGTAGTTCTTCCTCTCTGTGCAGACTGGAACCAGTGCAGAGTACCAGTACACCCCCCCCACCCAGCTGCCAATACAGCCTCCATATGAGCAGGCCTGCCACCTTCGCAAACACAACTTGCTTTCTAGAGAGGATGCTTCCCAGAGCCCGGAGGAACCGGAACCATCAGCTGCCCAGTAGGACTCTCACTGGTTGCCATCAGGAGGACGTTTCAATGATGTGACCTTAGAGGTTAAAGGTCATCCAATGATATAATCGATTTCTGTTTTTATGTCTTTAGAATAAAAGTAAACTTTGACATCAGAGCATAAATTCTCATTGAAAGTTCAACTGCTGAACAATGTTTCTGTCCATCCATCTACCATCCATCCATGCAACCATCTATCATCCGTCCATGCTGGGGCCCTCGCCAGTTAATCACAAAGACTCAGTCCTTCCTGCTTCAGAGCCCTTAGCCTAGCAACTATATTTCAGGTAGCAGGAGCACCCAGAGTGCAGCCTGTGTGCTCAGGGAGAACCTGGAGTAGCTGAACTGATTGTGGAATATTTTTCTGAAGACATCCTGATTGGTTCTCCTGTTTCCCATTACTGTCCAATTCCTTCAATACGACCCCAGCGTCCTGTAACTGCTGGAATAACCAAACACTAGTGATAATATGAGATGAGCTATTCGAGGCGTGTCTCCAGTAGTGGAGGGGGCGTTCCCACGAAGTAAGGCTTGGCTTATGTAGGAGAGGGGCCAGAATCAATGATGTCCAAAGCCTTGCTACCTTTTCATACCATGTGACCGCTTCAGAAAATTGGTTCAGCTCGCTGGAGAACTTTGACAGGCATTTAAACAGCCTCATTACTTAGTCAAGATCTGGGAGTTTTTAGTACCATGGTTACATTATTCATGGAAACCTAGAGGAATATCTGCTTCCACATGTGAAAATGAGCCGATGGTACGGATTGTGCTTCCACTACAGATCGGATAGTGACGCCATAGTCAACATTGACTGTTACAGCTCAGACATTACGGACGGCATCTTTGGGAGGTCGACTTGCAACCCTAATCTGCTGGTTTAAGCAGAAAAGAAGGATGCCCAGCAATGCAGCGTATTTTTGTTTTAATCGATGGATTTTTGACATCGCTGGAGGGATAACTTTGTGAAAGCATCAGAGCAAGACATTACTAATAAACAGCATATATATATACTCTAGATATATAAATATATATACAACATTTTAAGTCTCTTTACTGTCTTTAAGTTATTCTGCCTTTAACCCATCCCCTTGGGGTGGAGTGGGCTGCCACTGTGTGGCACCCACGGAGCAGTGTGGGGTTAAATGTCTTGCTCAGGGACCCAGAGGTGCAGTCTGTGGGAATGGGGCTTAAACATATAGATATAAAAGAATAGAAAATACTTTTATTGTCCCACAATGGGGAAATTGTAGTGTTTACAGCAGCAGCAAAACATTATAGCAAAAGTGGTCAGACAAATGTGGACCTTAAAAAGCGTATCAAAATAATAGAATAAGAGTAAAAAAAAATACTTTGTTTTTTTACAAATAGAAATACTGTGTATCTAAAGAACAATCAATATACAGCAGTGGACAGTTTTACAGTATTTCTAAAGTGTATTTTCTATACTGTAAGACCGTCTAAGATACAGGAATGTAAAAACAGGCAGAAACAAATACCATTGAAGAAATAAAAAGGGTAAAAAAAAAATACAAAGAATAAAAAAGAAAAAAAATATCACATGCACACAAATACTTATAGAAAAGAGTAATAAATTAATAAAGTTGAAGATTACAATGGAAAATAAATAAGGCAAGTACTACAAAGGCAAATAAATAAAGCTAATAAAAAGAGATGTCTCACTGTATGATTTAATTTCTACCTACATTTATATATACGGTATGTATATCGTGAGAGATACGTGTATGTTTGTGTATACCTGTATAAATATGTTTGTGTATATAGTAATAAATAAATCTACATACATCCTATCAGAATATTCTATTACTCTTAACCCCATTAAGAATATTGAAATACACTGAACCATTTGTTTGTTTTCAGCAAGAAAACAAAACTGTGAAATAGAGTTCAATATTCAGCGAGTTAAAGTTGATTAAAACTGATTATGTTCCTGAGCAGAGCTATCGACCGCCCCAAGATGGCGCCACCAAATAAGCCTATAGCAGCATAACTATAGAGATAGAATGAAGCAGAATGATGAAAAGGGGTCCCTATGTCCTCCGGCAGTCTAAGCCTATAGCAGCATAACTATAGAGATAGCTCAGGATAACCTGAGCCATTCTAACTATAAGCTTTATCAAAAAGGAAAGTTTTAAGCCTAGCCTTAAAAGTAGACAGGGTGTCTAGACGGGTACAGACAATAAGACAAAGCTCTTTATACACTCACCGGCCACTTTATTAGGTACACCTGTCCAACTGCTCGTTAACACTTAATTTCTAAGTAGCCAATCACATGGCGGCAACTCAGTGCATTTAGGCATGTAGACATGATCAAGACAATCTCATGCAGTTCAAACCGAGCATCAGTATGGGGAAGAAAGGTGATTTGAGTGACTTTGAACGTGGCATGATTGTTGGTGCCAGAAGGGCTGGTCTGAGTATTTCAGAAACTGCTGATCTACTGGGATTTTCACGCACAACCATCTCTAGGGTTTACAGAGAATGGTCCGAAGAAGAAAAACCATCCAGTGAGCGGCAGTTCTGTGGGCAGAAATGCCTTGTTGATGCCAGAGGTCAGAGGAGAATGGCCAGACTGGTTGGAGCTGATAGAAGGGCAACAGTGACTCAAATAACCACCCGTTACAACCAAGGTGGGCAGAAGAGCATCTCTGAACGCACAGTACGTCGAACTTTGAGGCAGATGGGCTACAGCAGCAGAAGACCACACCGGGTGCCACTCCTTTCAGCTAAGAACAGGAAACTCAGGCTACAATTTGCACAAGCTCATCGAAATTGGACAATAGAAGATTGGAAAAACGTTGCCCGGTCTGATGAGTCTCGATTTCTGCTGCGACATTCGGATGGTAGGGTCAGAATTTGGCGTCTACAACATGAAAGCATGGATCCATCCTGCCTTGTATCAACGGTTCAGGGTGGTGGTGGTGGTGTCATGGTGTGGGGAATATTTTCTTGGCACACTTTGGGCCCCTTGGTACCAATTGAGCATCGTTGCAACGCCACAGCCTACCTGAGTATTGTTGCTGACCATGTCCATCCCTTTCTGACCACAATGTACCCAACTTCTGATGGCTACTTTTAGCAGGATAATGCGCCATGTCATAAAGCTGGAATCATCTCAGACTGGTTTCTTGAACATGACAATGAGTTCACTGTACTCAAATGGCCCCCACAGTCATCAGATCTCAATCCAATAGAGCATCTTTGGGATGTGGTGGAACGGGAGATTCGCATCATGGATGTGCAGTCGATAAATCTGCGGCAACTGTGTGATGCCATCATGTCAATATGGACCAAACTCCCTGAGGAATGCTTCCAGCACCTTGTTGAATCTATGCCACCAAGAATTGAGGCAGTTCTGAAGGCAAAAGGCGGTCCAACCCGTTATTAGCATGGGGTACCTAATAAAGTGGCCGGTGAGTGTATGTGTGTGTGTTATAATCTTTTTTAAGTAATTAAAGTCTTGATTATATTCTAAATACTAAAACCATGGTTAAATAGTTCTATTATGAGCATTCAGAAGAGTAATGGCCTAAGATTATTTAAAAGTCCTGTTTTCCAGGTTTTTGTGTCACTCCCTGTTCCAGTGTGGTCATTCATCTTTTACATCTAAATTCTCTTTGTGTTAAATATTAGCGCTTTTATATCGTCCCAAAAATGCTTGTTAAAATATGTAGTCAGTCCATCTCTACCAAGCGACCGACCAGGTGCTTTTTTTGACATTATGAATGTTTTTGTGCTCCCATTTGATGTTTTTGTTTATTTTTATTATTGGATTATTGTGCGTCACATCACGTGACCTGTCTGAATTAACACACTCCTGTACAATAAAAGGTGTGTCCTTCAAACAAAGAGGGAACAACATGAAAGCCAAACCGAGTCTCATGCTGTCACGTTTGAACGCTGTTGATGCTAACAGGTTATGGGCCCAGAATCAATGAAGAAAAGGGTGAATGTCACGACGGATACACCTGTGGTGTAAGTAAATAAGGAAAATGAACAGAAGAGCAAAGACATGGTGGTCAAGACTTCTCTTTGAAGTTGCAATTTTTTCGGACTTACTGAAGTAAGAAATCCAGTAAAAAGCCAAATTCGCTGCTGCTACCAAAAACAAACGAATTGTCAATAAAATCCGAGCGCGATCAGCTGATGCAGGTCAATTTTCTCTGTCGAAGGGGGGGATATTACTTTATCTCCTCCATCTAACAAAACTAAACTAACAAAAACACCTTCAACTCTGCTGCTGATTAAAAAAAATGCTACCTGTGTGTCACTTTTTAAATCGAAATCTCTAAAAATAAAGGAGAAATTAGATTAAATGTACGGTGGCTCTGAGATGGAGGCCCCAAGCTTCACAGTTCCAATATGGTTCCAATATGAGAACCAATCAGAGCGCCCGGTCTCAATATGAACCAATCAGAACGCCCCATGCGCTCGTCAAATCAGAGGGCTTCTCTGCTCTCGATATGAAATCAGACCTTTGTCGCGCCAATCAGATGGCTTCGGTAGTTCCAATCTGCCTTTATCGGCAGCTGGTTTGTTTTTAGCTTGTTAGCAGCAGCGGTAGCTAATAAAAGCTGTCTGTTGGCTGCACATAGTAATAAGGATCCAATAGGTAAGCTGACCTGATCGTAGGGCATGAATTATATGAGAAATGATGGGGTTGTTGTAATTCCAAATCATTTTAAATAATGTTTTAAGAGTTCAATTTTATAAATTTAGGTATAAATAAAAATCACTTTCTGGAGTAGTTTAACAGCATTGTACTTTTTACTTACACTTAAGTTAAAACAATATGAAATTGTGCTCCTGTTATTTAGAATGGATTAGAATAGAAAATCCTTTTATTGTCCCACAATGGGGAAATTCTGGTGTTTATGGTAAAAAAAAAAAAAAAAAAAATGCTCACACAAATGTCGACCTAACATAATAGTGAAGTAAAACAAAACAAAAAATTAAATCCTGTACTGTAAAGTGTTTTAACAAAATAAAACTGGAGAATAAATAACCAATATGCAGCTATGGCCATTTTTAAAGTAATAGATTTTATTTGAAAATAGCAGCAGCATCAGAGATGTGCAGAATGACAGAAGCATGTTATTTAGCTGACTGAAGGTAGAAACTGTGCAAAAGGAGGTTGTTAGGAACAGTGATGGTCATATTAGGTTAGATTAGATGAGCTTTATTGATCTCACAGCGGAGAAATTCACTCGTCACATATTGGCACAGAAGTTACAGAAGGTGCAAACAAGGAGGAAAAAGGTGCATTAAGAATAAGCAATATATATACAGTATATCCAGGTATATACAGTATATCAAGATAAATAGGATTAAGGTGCAAGTGTACATGTATCACACACAATGAAAAACAAAATAAAAATAAAAAAAAATAAAAATAAGAAATAAAAATATGTACAATCCGGATGGCTTATGTACAGGGGGATTTACTTTTACAGTAAAGTGTAGTAGGTAAGGAACAACGGTGAGGTAGTGGTATGACTATTATATTCACATAGTTTTATAGCTGCCTAGTTGAAATGCTTTGGTATTCTACCCACCTCTGGTTAAATGAACACTCATCCCTGTAGTTTCTGTCACACAGTTTGACTTTGTTGCTGATCAGTTTTCCTGTCTTTTTTTCTCCAGATTAACATTGTTCAACAGTGCAAATGGCTGTAAGTAAATCTTTATTGCTATGATGCTCTGAGAGCTGAAATGACTGCTGTATTAATGCATCTATAATTCTATTTCCCATATTGTGAATGTTTGAATGTAATATTTTTAGTCAGAGCACCCTAACTTCAGGAGGTTCCCCAGCGGGAGCCTCATCCTAAAGGCCACCACTGCGGCTCTGGGGTCCCAGAACGCAGCCCAGAGGGGGGCCCTGAGGGCCAAACCCGCCGAGGAGGTGGAGGCGGGTTTGGCATTCCTTTGAGATGATTAAAGTAGTTATGATTTGAATGGAGGTACGCCAGACACACGTTCCACTGGCTGCTGGAGAACGACGTGGGCTACGCCGTCCTCCTGAAGGAGCGTGAGAGGACAGGGTCTCAGTCCCCCCTCATGGCTAACAAGGTAGCATTTAATCTGTCCTTCAGGGCATTCTGGTTCTCTTCAGTTCAGATCCTATCCTACGTACTTGTAGGACGGCCTCCTGCACTACGCCTGCTCATACCTCGACTTTGCAGAGGCGGTAAAATTCCACCGGGCGTTTGAGGAGGGCGAAGGAAAAGTCCCGCCAACCTGGCCAGGAGGGCCAGGCCTTTGTTGGCTTTGGGGACTTTAAATATGAGACCCTGAGAGCCTCTACAGCTCTAAGGACCCTCAGAAGATCCGGTATGAGAGAACGATAGAAACTGTGTGTGCTTTGCCTCTGCTGGGATATCAGAATCTGCTGACTCTTTGTCTCACCCGCTCAGGTTTGTCAACTATCTGCGCCGGACGTCAGCCGTTCCCGGTTCCCAAAAGGAAAAGGTCATGGAGTACGTCTGGCGCAGAGACAAGGAGAGGGTCTCCTATCGCGGCAGCCTCCATCGCGGCAGCCTCCACCATTGCGGCAGCCTCCACCATCGCGGCAGCCTCCATCGCGGCAGCCTCCACCATCGCGGCAGCCTCTGTCTAGTCCACCGAGGCACTAGCGTTGGCAGGGAAGCTGTCAGCCAGGACTGCCGCACAGTGTGTTTTTTTTCATTTAGATATTATTATTATTATTGCTTTCTTTGTCTGCCGCTCACACAAACGCATCTCTATCCAGGTGACGATAAGCTCGCCGGTGCTGCCGCCGACACAGCTGCCTGGGTTACCAATGTGGGTAATGAATATGGCCAGGTCCTTCATGAGCGTCCTCACCTGCTCTGAGGGGTCCGAGGACCTGAGCGCCATGGTGGCTGGACTGATGCGGCGGTACCGAGATGCAGAGGTACCTCCCCCGTAGCTCATGTACGTCGACCAGGACTGCTGCAGCAGAGACGGCGTGTCGAAGACAGCTGCCTTGTTTCATGTGAGAGCTGAGATGATTGAAGCTTTTAATACTCCTGCAGCCTCTTCATCTAACTCGCCCTGTTTTCTGTCGGGTAGGAGTGGGGCAACCTCGTAATCTGTCTGGACATCTGGGACTACATGCAACGTATCGCAGGTGGTGTCACAACTCACTCTCCTCCTCCTCAGGAACCCTCCTCAGACTCTGAGGTGAACACCATAACACATCCTTAATACGACTTTTCAAAGCCATCTAAATATTTTAATTGAAATTATGTTTTCATTAGATGGTTGATTTTAGCTATGGTTTGCTTTTAGGACGAGGTCAAAGGTCCTGATGGCCAGCCGGGATATCGGCACGTCCTGAAGCTGGCCCAGGCCTTGGTGGAGGTGAGGAGCCTGAACGGGCTCAGCGAGTCCAGGATAGACCGCCTCATTGCGCTCTGGCAGCGCCTGCCGGAGCCAGACAAGCAGAGACTGATCTAACCTTCCAGGCACCAGGGGAGGAAAGTCAAGGGGCGCTTCAAGGCAGCGAAGGGGAAAACCGTCCCCCATCCTGGCAGGCAGAGCCTCCAGCGGTTAGTTGGACACTTACAAGCTTATTTTATTCCCCAAATGTCTGCTATTTTGTTTACATCTATTTAACACTTTGCTTTCCCCGTTTTGCAGCTGCATCCTTGGAGTCAACTCAGGCCCAGCAAACTGGCCGGACACCAGCCGCCTGGTGGAGGCCATTTGCAGCCACCCGTATCAGGGGGATCATGAGGAGCCGATGGTCCCTCATCCACGGTGACTACGTGGCGATACGGGAGACAGTGCTGGCATGCCCGAGAATGATGGCTCAGACCAGGGCCATCCAGCAGGAGTCTCCCTCCTGCTCCACCACCTCCACTTCCTCTGGCTCCCCGTTTTCCTGTGCTGCCCAACCTTGCACCCCTCCCCTCTGCTCCACCTCCACACCCTCCTCCTCCTGTTGTTCCCAAATCAACACTTTACAGGAGGAGGAAATTGGCGGAGGCTGGGGAGGGGCCACCGAGACAAAACAAGGTGTACCTTTGTAGCAAGTGCGGGCAGCCAAAAAGACTGGACACCGGACACACCAGGGTGGGTGGTGTTTCTTACTGCGCCACAACAGGGGGTAAGAGCGTGGATGAGTGGAAAAAGGAGTTTAAAAAAAATTTTTTTTAAAAAGGACCCCCCAAAAATTTAAAAAGAACAAAAAAAAAAAGACATTAAATAAAACATGTTAATATTTGTAGGTTTCATTTTATAGTGTTCTAGTTATTGTGTTCCTTTCTGCACGTTTTATTCTTAAATTGTTCCTATCCATTGTTTATCTATAGCACATGTGTCAAACTCAAGGCCCGCGGGCCACATGTGGCCCGCTACGTGATTTTATATGGCCCTCTCCCCCCCACCACCGTTTTACAGGGCTATTGATTGACTTAAAATAGGTTTTGAGCACAAATTGACCACAAACTACATCTCCCATAATGCCTTCCAATATTTACCAGCCACCATTAGGGCTTCTCGCCACTAGAGTGCAGCAGAGTCACATCAAGTTGATTATTAATTTTCCCAGCGAATAAAACTGAAACATCGACAAGCTAACATCAAAATGTCTAAGAAGAGAAAAATCGATTTACAAGGAAGACTGTTTCATGAACGATGGGAAAACGAATACCTCTTTGTACTACAAGGTGAAAAACCAGTATGTCTTTTGTGTTCTGGGGCAGTGTCCGTTGTGAAAGAATACAATATACGTCGGCATTTTGAAACAAAACACAGAGCTAAGTACGCGAAATTTAGCCTTCAAGAAAAACAAAAAATTGCAGCAGATTTAAAAGGCAGATTGCAAATGCAGCAGAAATTGTTTACAAAAGCCACAGCCAAAAATGATGCAGCGGTGAAAGCAAGCTTTATTGTAGCTGAAGAAATCGCCCGAGCTTCAAAATCTTTTTCGGAGGGTGCATTTTTGAAGCAGTGTATGCTAAAGGTGTGTGAGCAGGTGTGTCCCGAAAAAGTACAGACTTTCCAAAATGTCAGTTTGTCAAGAAATACCATCGCGGAACGAGTTAAGGACATTGCCGGAAATATAGCGACACAGCTGGCTGAAGAAATGGGCTGCTGTCTAGCTTTTTCATTAGCTGTGGATGAAAGCACAGACAACGTGGATACGGCGCATTTGTCCATTTTTATTAGAGGGGTGATGCCAGACCTGTCTGTAACCGAGGAGCTCCTGGATATAGTGGCGCTGCATGGAACCACAACCGGCCGGGACATTTTTGATGCAGTGGAGAAGTCTGTCGGTAAAAATAAATTGCCGTGGGAAAGGTTGGTGGGACTAACTACAGACGGTGCACCTGCGATGTGTGGAGGAAAAACAGGCTTGGTTGGACTAATGAAGGAAAAAATGCAAAAAAGCAACAATCAGACGCCGCTGATCACGTATCATTGCCTTATCCATCAGGAAGCGCTGTGTGGAAAGGTTCTGGAGCTGGATAATGTGATGACACTGTCACGAAAACAGTCAACTTTATTCGGGCGCGCGGCCTGAATCACCGCCAGTTTCAGATGTTCTTGCAGGAGGTGGGTTCAGAGCATGAAGATATGCCGTACCATACAGAAGTAAGGTGGCTGAGTAGGAGTCAGCCACCTTAAGTCCTTAAACGATTTTTTGAACTTCGAGAAGAAATCGATCTTTTCATGAAAAACAAAGGAAAACCCTTGTCTGAACTGTGCGATCCGAAATGGCTGTGTGAATTTGCTATGTTATGTGACGTCACCGAGCATCTTGCTGAGCTAAATCAGAAACTACAAGGACATAAACAAGTCATCACACAGATGTCCGACATGATCACAGCTTTCCAGCGCAAACTCAATCCATGGAAGTACCAGGTGGAACAAAACAATCTTGTCCACTTTCCTGCATGTCAGATCATCTCAGCCTCATCTCCCGGTGCTTTTTCATGTGCTCGGTTAACTACCAAACTAACTCTGTTAACAAACGAGTTTGATCGGCGCTTTTATGACTTTAAATCGCAACACTCTAGTTTTGACATCTTTGCCAATCCTTTCACCGCCGATGTCTGCAGTGCGCCCCACCGCCTTCAGATGGAGTTAATTGAGCTTCAAAGCGACAGTGGCCTGAGAGCGAAGTTCCGTGATGTTTCAATCGAGGACTTTTACCCTCTACTTCCCCCTGATTTGATGCCACAGCTTCGACTCCATGCAGCTCGTGTTTTGTCCATGTTTGGAAGCACCTATCTGTGCGAACAGATGTTTTCAATAATGAATTTAAACAAGACCAAGCATAGATCACGCATTAATGACGAAAACCTACACGCCGTTTTGCGGATTGCCACAGCACAAGAACTAAAACCAGACATCGACTAACTGACAAGGGGAAAACGGTGCCAGACATCAGGCCAGAAAACATTGGTAAGCACAAACAAACTGAATTAAAATAGAATTAATGTAAAACCAAAGTTCAGTATACTGGAATATGAATATAGTTTATTGATTTTGCTTGTGTTTTGTTTTGTGTTTATTTACAGAACACAACTGGTGAATGAGGATGTGTGTGAGTTGGTGACAGAGTGAAAAGGGATCAGCTTTGTGTTCAAGGACAGGCAACATCGCCTAATTGTTTTGTTCTTATGTGAAATACATGTTCGTTGTGTAATAAATAACAGAAACGTTTTGTGAATGAAGTTGAGAGTTAACAGCATAACTTGTTTTTATTCTTTGTCTGCTTATCTTTAAACACTGATTTAAGTATTGTAATTTTTCAACTGAGCAGTAATTTTACATCCATGCAAACTCAAATGTAATATTTAAAACTTGAATACATAAAATCAGTTACTTAACAATATGAGGCGTTGTTTAATTTATTTTTAACAATGTATTTCCATACATTTATGCTAGGGTTGACCAAGTCTAGTTTTCCAGACCTATCACTCTGCAACTTTAAATGCGTTCTTTCTCTAACTAACACACCTGGATCTTTGACTCATTCATAGGCCTCTACAGAACTGAGTTGCTGCTACTGAGGGAAGTCAACCTTTTGTCTGGGGTATGTTTTAGCAGGGACGAATCTGTAAGTTGCAGTCTGTTGCAGTCTGGAGGACGGTATAAATAATTCCTGATATATACCGTCAATGTGGCCCGTTGAGGGTGGCCAATATGCTGAAGTGGCCCTTGGTGAAATTGAGTTTGACACCCCTGATCTATAGCTCCAGTTCAAAACAACTTGTTTCATGGAGGAAACTCAATTCAGTCTGATTACAGGCATTCCAGGTGATACTCATCACCACTCAGTCACTCTATCAAACCAGAGAGGATCTTCTATCAGCCTATTTTGGCAATGCTGAGATAATGCAGCGACAAGTGGCTGTGGGCATTCAGGCCTGCTGGAAAACCGAGCAGGCAAAGCAAAACAGAATACTCCTGCTCTATGTTCTATTTCATTTCATGGCTATCTCTTGGACGCAGTCATTGCTCTTCTAAATCACTGCAAAGAACTGCTGCAGCTTTGTGT